GAGAAACAGGAGTCCACAGGCTCTAGGTGTCTCCATCATCTGTCTCAATTTTAGCCTGGATCCACAACCAGGCTGTGGGGATTATTTAGAGCTAAAGAGAACTTGGATATTCTCTAGTGACCAGATTCTAGTCCAATCATTTCATTTTGTAGATGGGGAAACTAAGGAGGTACTTTAATGCTTCTGATTATTTCCCAGGCCTCAGTTTCTTCATCAGTAAAATGAGGTTAGACTGGTTGGCTTCTGTGGGAGAGTGGGATTTGGGACCGCCTATATCAGGGTCTTACAGCCAGCAATACAGGTCAACCAATCAACCAAGCAATGAAAAGCATTTATTAAGTCCCTGCTACGAGCCAGACAGGGTGCTAGGTTCTGGAGATAGAAACATAAAAAATGAAACAGCCCTCCCCTCAAGTAGTTTATGGTGTTGCCAACATATGTACACACACACACACACACACACACACACACACATACATGTATAATAGACATATATCAACTCATATACATATGATATACATAGATATGTGGGTTATGTATATACCTATAAGCCCACATGCATGTAATATTATACATGTTTAATATATTCGTGATGTATTGTGCATGTATATATGCATGTATGCACATGCCCTGGGTCTACTCTCCCAAGCCCCTAGTTCCATGGCAGGTGGGGTTCTCAGAGGACAACTATTGTTTTTCTCCTTAGGGTTCTAGGAAACCCTGAGAAGCTTGGTGGGGAAGGGGGAGCAGTGTCTAATGCTATGGCTTATGAGCCCCCATGAACAGTATACCTTCCCCAGTGATAATCAGTTTACAGCAATTAGCTAGCCAGACCCATTATCTTTTGGAAATAGCCATTTGTTAAGATGGTATAGTAAGAAGAATGGGCATAAATATCTCCTCCCCAACCCCAGTCCCCCTGTTCTGATCAGGGGCACAGTCTCCCCCAAGTGCACCAAGATACCAGGAGAAGTTGACTCAGAATAAAAAAGAGTCCCTTTCTCTGCTCTGTGGGGTCCCCCCTTCTCCCCTAAGCATGTTATTTGGAGCTCAGCTCTGGATGCAGACTTTGTCAGATGTCAAGCACTGGTGTTCTGGAGATGCTGCTGGGATGCCCAGGGGAAGTCTAAAATCTTCCAGCCTTTAGAAGTTCACAAGGTTTCCCATTAGCTTCAGGGTGACGGGTGGGGAGGAGAGAGAGGCACTTCTCTTCTCTTCCTCCATTCTTTTTCTCCCAAGTGATTTCCTCAGGGCGACTTGGTTATACCGCTCTCTCATCTGAGCTGGATTTGCTATTTTGTACAAAACTCACAGGCTTTGTCTGAGTTTCTTCAACCAAGCCCCACACCCTTCCTGTGTTGCCCGTCTTACTTTCCTTTTTTTTTGGCGGGGGGCAAGGAAATTGGGGTTAAGTGACTTGCCCAGAGTCACACAGTTAATGTTATGTGTGAGGCAGAATCTGAACTCAGATCCTCCTGACTCCAGGGCCAGGGATCTATCCACTGCACCATTTAACTGCCCCCCCATGTTACTTTCCTAAACCACATATCTGACCCTATCCCTCCCCTGATCAATAACCTCCAGTGACTCCCTATCACCTCTTGGACCAAAGCCACCTCCCTTCACTTTGGATGTCAAGTCCAACAGAATCAGGTCCCATCCTGCCTTTCTAACTCGTTACATTCTTCACGTGTTACCCCCCTCAAAGATCAACCTAAACTGGCTTCATCTCCTATTCCTCCCCAGCTTCATTTAGGTCTTAATTCCAATTCTGCGCCTTGCTACCCATGTGATCTTGGACAAGTCATTTAACCTCTATAGGAAATGCTTCAAATCATTTAGAGACGGGGGGACTTTAGTCTATTCCCCTGATTTTTAGAACGAGAAAAGTGAGGTCAGAGAGAGGGAAACGTGGAAGGTCACACAATTGATAAGTAACCACGCAGGACATAGGAATGGGTGGAGAACTAGTTTGCCTGGGAACTCCCAGGAGGGGTATGAGCAAAACACAAAGGCCCCTTTGTTTCAGCTGATCCCCTTCCTGGGAATGACATCATACCCCCTCTGTACTCCAGAGGTCCACCAGTGTTATTCAGTAGAAAAAAGTGCAGCCTTGGCCACACATTCCCTAGGAAGCTAAGGAGAAAAGCAATAGATTTAGAGCTGGAAGGGGCCTCAGAGGTTCAACTCCCTCATTTTTCAGATAAGAAACCTGGCCACCTTCTCTAGGAAGTCTGCCCTGATTCCCTTTGCCAATAATGGCCTTGGCCCTCAGACCTCACAAAGCTGCTTGTTTCTGCCCTCTCAAATGTGCTTATATAATGTCACTTATATGTGTTAGTGAGTTGCCTGGCAAACACCAACAATGGGATGAGAGAAACAGCTGCTGCCTTTCCATTCCCACCTCTGTATCTTTGCTTCTGCTGGTACCCTTACCTGGAATGCCATCCTACCTTCTCTATCCAAACTTACTTTCCATTCCCATCTCCTTAAAGACATGGAATGTCTTATCTAAACTTGATATTTCCATTAATATCCCATCTGCACATAGAATGTAATGAGTAGGAATGGTTTTGCGAGATTGAATTGGATTGAGTTTTCTTATATCTCTGGACCTCAGTTTCCTTATCTGTGAAATGGGCAAGCATTTGGGTCTTAAGATTCTGTGAAAACCAGGGGCAGGTAGTTGGCGCAGTGAATAGAGCACTGGCCCTGAAGTCAGGAGGACCTGAGTTCAAATCCAGCCTCACACCAAACACTTGACATTTACTAGCTGTGTGACCCTGGCCAAATCACTTAACCCCAATTGCTTAAAAATTAAAAAGTAAAACACTTTTGGGGCAGCTAGGTGGCACAGTGGATAGAGCACCGGCCCTGGATTCAGGAGGACCTGAGTTCAAATCAGGCGTCGGACACGTAACACTCACTAGTTGTGTGACCCTGAGCAAGTCACTTAACCTCAATTGCCTCACAAAAAAAAAAAAAGATCCTATGAAAACCAGGCAGTTGGGGGAGGGGCTCACATCCAGTACTGCTCCTTCTACTTGAACCCTGTGTCTGTCACTTATGACCTGTACGACCTTGAGCAATTGCTTTTACCACAGTGGCCTGAATTTTCTCATTTGTGAAATGGGGGAGTTGTATACCATGATCTCTAGGGCACCTTCCAGCTCCAGACCTAGGAACCTATGACTTGAATTTGAATCTTGGATCTGTGACTTTGGGCAATCACCCAACCTTCCTGGGCCTCAGTTTCTACAGATGTAACATAAGGGGGCTGAACCAGATGACTTCTGAGGCCTCTAGGTTCCATTTACACCTAGGCCTCAGTGTCCTCATTTGTAAAATAGAAGACAGGATGAGATGGTCTCTGAGATTGCTTTTCTGCTCTGGTTATGATCCTGGGCATATAATAAATGCTGATGAAACAAAGGAGCCAATCTGGTGGCCCAGGCTCAGCACTGGCACCAGGAGTTTTTACCTGGGAGCAAACATGACAACTGGGATGGGCACATGGAAGCAGGGCATGAGACAAGCCAGCCACAGGTACAGCTGCATGGGGCGGGGGGGGGGGGGGGGGGGGGGACTCACCTGAAACCCCTGGGAGATTAAGGTGGACCTGGGAGAGTGGCTGCCACAGTGATTGCCCCCTAGGGGTGGCGCCTGGGAGCCATCCACAAGCCAGAATACCAAAGTGAGGGATGAGCACCAAAGTCACCATGAGAAGGAAACTCACCCCCACTGGATGGCAGCACCCTGGGGCACAGCTCCATCTGCCTTGTACTAGTTATGACTCTACTGGGCCTTCCATCACTCTTCTCTATCTGCCCTAGTTGTACCGGAAGGAAGCCTGGATTTGAAGTTTGAGGCTCTGGGGCTATTGACTCATCCTTTGCACTCTCTGGGCTTCAGTTCCATCTTCTATAAAATGACAGAGTTGAACCAGCTCTGAATTCTATGACCTTGTGATCCTTCTCTGCCTTTTGGTGGAAGATTGAGGCCCCATTGGAGAGGAAAGCTGTGGACACACTAAAACGGTAGCCAAGGTGTCATAGTGGAAGGGGCCTGGCGGTCATCTGGTCCGCCCCCCACCTTTTACAGATGAGGAAACCAAAGTCCAAGAATGAGGAAAGAGACTTTTGATGTTTCATAAAATCCCAGAATCTCCAATTTGGAAGGAACCATGGAAGCCATCCCGCCCAAACTGTAACTCAATAGCAATCCCTTCAATCAATCTATCAATCTACAATGTTCATGAAATACAAAGCACTGTGCTTGATGCTGGGGGCACAAGGACAAAGAATGAAATAGTCTTTCCCTGTGAGGGAGACAAAAATATATACATATAGACATTATAACCAGGGGGTGTGGGTAAATGTTTAACAATCGGCTCTCTGGGAGTGGGGTGGAGGGGATGCAGGCCACAGTTTTACTTTTATCTGCCATATTAACCCTTTCTCCATTACTTTCTTGAGTCTAGTCAAGTCAGCAAAACCATAAATCAAGACCTGATTTGTAGCATTTGGGGATTTCCCAGGTGTAAATGCTCACATTGAAAATTTAACGATCGATTTGCTGTTTGAACTAGCTCCAGCACATCTCTGGAAAGAATGAATACAAAGTAGTTGGATACAAGGTCATTTGGTAACTTTGTAATTTGGGGAGATCAGGAGAGGCTTTTGGCAGAAGATGGTGCTGAAGCTGTGTGTTAAAGGAGGAGGACAATTCCGTTTGGCTAAGGAGGGGCTACCTTTCCTTCATGGCAGGTGCTATATTAAATCAAGGAGAGAAGAGCCCAGCACGAGTGCCTGCCCTGCAGGCTCAGCGGCAGCAGCCCCGCCGTCCACGGTGCCAGGGCGACCTTCTTTTAAGGTGCTCTGGGGCACTGGGGCACCCAGGCACCCAAAGGGGCCCAAACTTCTCTTTCAAACCACATGCCCCGCCTCCGGTGAACAGTGGTGCGGGGGGAGGGGAAGGCAGCAGATTGAGTAAGTCAGTTCCCCTTCCGCTTTTCCTCACTGCTTTCCAACGACCTGCCAATCTACCAGCCTGTTAATTATTATTTTTGCTTCTTCTCTGTGTCTCTCCTTGGGAGGCCGGCTTCTCTCGTTCCTTGGCTGCCCGGGAGGAGTCACCCTTCTCCTCTTTTCCTGCCTCAGCGCCTCCAGGAGTCCAGACAACATGCAGGCTATCAAATGTGTGGTGGTGGGAGATGGGTAGGTAACTTGGTTTGTTTCTGGACCAGGTGGTGGAGGCATCTTCCTGGGGCGGGGTGGGGGCAGGTTACCAGCATTTAATTTTTTCTCTAGTCTGAGCTTTTCCCACTTCTCTTGCCAACCCCTTCCCCAATCCCTTTCTCTCCACCCCAAGAGCGTTCGCTGCCTTCTAGAAGTTGTGATGTGACGGGGAGCAGCTGTAAAGAGTCATGTCTCTTCTCTCAGAAGCCTTCCGCCTGGGTGGGATAGGGTGGCTTGGGCTATTGGGCCTCACCTTCCTCATCCTGCCCCTACCCTAAGTCTGCTGAAGGAATGGGGCTGGAGTGCGTTTGGTAGGGCTAAGATTCCGTGCCTAGACTGAGCTCAGCATCATGGGTGTTGGTGCATCCTTGAAGCAACTTGGACCCATGGTGGGACTGGGAGGTAGCTTCCCTGTTTCCATTTCCAGGGAAATCTGGCCAGGGCCAGGGCCTAAGCCATGATGAGACCCCTGCCTGGTCCCACGACGGTTGGTGGGGGTGGGAGAGGCTTGACTGGTATGAACATTAATGTGAGAAGTGGTTGGAGGTCATGAGATCTAAATTCGGCTCAAATCTCAGAGTATTGGACCTGGAGTCAGGAAGATATGGGTTCAAATCCTACCCCCAACTCTTACTAGCTGTGTGACCTTGGGCAGGTCACTCTGAGTCTCTTCTGCAAAACGAAGGGGATGAAGTCTCACCTTTTCAGTCCCTTTCAGCTCTAAATCCGTGGTACTGTAATATTATTTCTAGGCCTCAGTTTCTTCATCAGTAAAATAAGGGTTAGGGTAGATGATCTCTATGGCCCCTGGCAGTTCTAAATCTGTAAGCTGTTTTCCTATGATCTCTGCTACTTGCAACCTCTTCAACCTTGGAGCAGTTATTGAAATTCTCTGAGCTTGTTTCTTCCTCTGGGAGATAAAGAGGGGGTGGGGGAGGACTGGACGGTTTTAATATTTCCTTCAGATATTAAATCCTCTGACCTTCTGTCATCCTCTACCGGGGTGCGGGCTCCAGCTCTCCCTGGCATGACCTTGAATAAGTCACTTCCCGCTGGGCCTTCTTTTCCTTTTCTGCAGATAAGGACTGCATCTCCAGGTTTTCGTCTACTTCTAAGTTTATTTTATTTTTTTTCAGGAGAACCAGATTGTGACACTTTGTATAGATAGGGAAGAGATAGGGAGAGCCAGGAGCCAGAAAGACTTCATGTAGAATAGAGAATGTGGGACTGGGAGAAGGCCTTAGAATGTGGAATGGCAGAACTGGGAAGGCTCTCAGAGCTGGGAGTGGGATAGGGAATCCCTAGAGCATTGAATGTTGGAGTTAGGAGAGAACCTAGAAAATGGAATGTCGGGGCAGAGAATATTAAAATCCGTCAGAGCTGGGAAGGAACCTTGTAAGCCCCTGGTATTATAGGTGAGGTACGTGAGGCCCAGATTAATTTGTTCAAGGTCACACACACACACACACACACACACACACACACACACACACACGCACATGCTCACACACAGTGGCTGAGCCTACCTCTGGAAGCAGGTCTGCTCACCCAAACTCCAGGGCACTTCCCTGAGCTGACTGGGGAGGAGCACCCAGCTGGGTCCCTGGTTGGCACTAGGAGAGTTAATGGTGCTGGAGTGTTATCTACACTGGTCCCTTCCCCCTCCTTTCCCCGCTCATTGCTTCTCCGAACTTGTTATTCAGCGGAAGTTGGTGAGCCAAGCCTTCTTCTTATTCAAAATGGAGAGGGTGGGGGGGTGGGGGGAGAGGGGGCCTCAGGGGAGGAGAAACTGAACCAGACAGGGATAGGAAGAAAAGGAAACTTAGAAGCAAATTGTTCACTAGACGGGAAGTCAAGAACCCAAAAGTGGAGGCTGGTCCTTATACCCCACACCTGGCCCAGGGAAACCCCCTTCCAGCTCAGGCTACGCACCCCAGAGCCCTCTTTCCTCTTCCACCCCTTATAGCTTTGATTCCAAAGTGGATTGGCCCTAAGCACATCACAGAAACAGGAGGCTTAGACCAAAAGAGAAGATATGGGAAAAACAGAAAGGGGCTGGGAGAGATGGGCAAAGGAAAGCCCTGGAGGCAGGGTGTCAGATACTTATGTAATCTTTGAATCATAGAATCTTAGAATGTCAGAAGTAGAAGGGACCTTGGAACACAGAACATCAGTAGTGGGAAGGACCTGAGAACAGGGAATGTCAGAGCTGAGAGAGACCATCAGTTCCAGATCTCTCATTTTACATATGGGGACACTGAGGCCCAGAGAAGGGAGGTCTCCCAGTGAGCCTGTGGCAGAAGTGAGATCAGACTCAGGACTCCTGGCTCTCAAGTGTTTTTCCTGTTCTATTACTGGGGGGAGGAGGAGGAGGAGGAATACTGGGGTCCCACAAAAAGTGTGGTGAGCTTAGAGTTTATTCCTCATGGCCAGCTTGGTGGGATTGGCTTTTGAGGGGGGCCTAAAGGGGAGGGCTGCTTCTTCACTGGCGATGGGAAATACAAAGGAGGGAGCCGCTAAACTTCTCCCCTGTCTCTTCTTCATTTCAGAGCTGTGGGTAAAACCTGTCTTCTCATCAGCTATACCACCAATGCCTTTCCTGGAGAATATATTCCCACGGTGTGAGTACCCAGACAGGGAGGGGGATGGTCTGGGAAAGGGCAAGGGGGTAAGCTCAAGAGATCTATGTGAGGGAGGAGAATTTAATCCTGTCAAGACTGGGTGGTATAGTGTATAAAACAGGCTCTGGAGTCAGGACCTGGGTTCAGATCCTACGTTGTCCACTTACTACCTGTGTAACCTTGGGCTAATCACTTAGCCTCTCTGATCTCAGTTTCCCTACCTATAAAATGGAAATGGTAGACTAGAAAATCTTTAAGTTCCCTCCTCAATCTGAATTACAGAATCGAGTGAGAAGGAATACTCAGGGGTCTAACCCAGGCTGGTCATGAGCTGGAATCCCCTTTATAGCAGTATTCTTCACAAGTAGCCAACAGTCTCCATCTGAATACCTCTAGGGATGGAGACTTCATTGTTTGTGTTGTTTAATCATTTTTCAGTTGTGTCCAACTCTTCTTCATGACCCTATTTGGGGTTTTCTTGGCAAAGACACCGGAGTGGTTTGCCGTTTCCTTCTCCAGCTCATTTTACAGATGAGGAAACTGAGGCAGTCAGGGTTAAATGAATTGTCCAGGGCCACACAGTTAATAAGTGTCTGAAGCCAGATTTAAACTCAGGAATATGAGTCTCCCTGACTCCAGGCCTGGGGTTCTATCCACTGCAGCGGACATCTGGCCACCTATCATTGTAGTGCTAGGCTATTCTACTTTGGGGTAGATGTAATCATTGGAAAGGTTTTTTCATGTATGCATCTGAATTCTGCCCCTTGGCAGATTCTGCTTTTGCCCTCTGGGTCCAGCAGAACAAAGTTAATCCCTCTTCTACATAATCTTCTCATGGACACTTGAAGCCAGGTCCCCAGTCCTTATCTCCTCCAGGCTAAACACCCAGTTCTTTCTACTAATCCTTGTATGGCATGGTGGCCAATCCCTCTGTCAACATGGTGGTCCTACTTTAGGTTGTCTCCTGTTTGTTCCTGTCCTGTCTAAAATATGACTCTTTGTGTAATCTAATCAGAGTAGAATATTCCTTCCCTTGCCCTGGCCATTATGCCCCCTTTAGTGCAGGCTAAAATGGTGTTAGCTTTTTGGAGACTCTACTACGCTGTTGACCCATATGATGCTTTTCGTAGCCCCATTTTACAGATGGAAGACACTGAGGCTCACAGTGTCATACAGCTAAGGAGTATGTCTGAAGCAGAAGAGAAGAGTCTAGGGTTCAGTTGTATACATTGTCGCTTTCTGGCCTGTGATTATTTCTTTACAGGGACTATCTTAGCCCTCAACATTCCTTCCATTTATTGTAGGCGCTCACCCAGGAGATCCTTCTGTGTTTCCATCCTGGGAGTTTAAAGAGGTGCCCTCCAGGAGGGGGATGACCCTTTGTCCAAACCCTAGTGGTAGCTTCTGTTCACTGGGACCTCATGCACATGAATGCAACAAAGAGATCATAGAATCTCCAAGTTGGAAGAGACGTCAGGCATGTTCTATTCCAAGTTGGATGTGAAAAAGATGTTCCTCTTCAGTATCCAAGAGAAGTGGCTATCCAACCTCTTCTTGAATGCCATCATGGACAGGGAGCTTGCTACCTTAAAAGGCAGTCACTTTGGGACAGCTCTGATTGGAAAAAAGTTCTCTCTCTGCTTCCCCATCCCCCGATATGGCTAAACATTAGTCAATTTCTTCATTCACTCTTTGTATGTCATGGTTTCCAGTCCCTTCCTTATCCAGGTCCAGAGAGACCTCTATCGTTACGCAGGTATATTGTGTGGTAGCTAGCACATTGGATGTAAAATCAAGGAGACCTGAATTCAGATTTTGCCTAAGTCACTTCCTAGCAGTGTGACCTTGGGCGAGTCACTTCCCTCCTCTGGGCGTCAGTTTCCCCCATCTGCCTAATGAGATAGTTGGACTAGATGATCTCAAAGGACCCTTTCAGTTCCAGACCTAGGATCCATTGGTCTTATTAACCTCATCACTATTTTCTTTGCCTTGTGAATAAAAAGTGCACCTTCTCAATGAATACAGCTTGGTCTTTTGAGATATTCTTTCATTGTGCCCCTTCTGCTCTGGTCTTAGCTCTGACCCTTGCTGAGGGATTATCCAATGTCCCATCAGAAGCTGGAGGCAGACCCATAATTCCAAGGCGGTGACTATTGCCTCTCATGGGACTACAGGCTCATGGGTTCAGGGCTGTAAGGGACCTCAGAGGTCATCTAGTACAACCCCTTTGTTTTACTGATGAGGAAACTGAGACCCAGGGAGGTTAAATGATTTGCCCAAGGTCACACAGATAGTAAGCATCAGAGGCAGATTTTCACCCCAGGTCTTCTGACCCTGGAGCCAGGGAGCTTTCTACTATGCCATGCTCTGGCCTCCCCACTCCAACCTCCCCCACAGTGCCTCTTGGACCCTGGGAATCCCCCTGCAATTTATCTTGGATGAGAACCTTGGAAGTTACAGGGAGGCAGATTTAGGATCAATAGAAGGAAGAACATCCTGACATTTAGAGTTGCCCGATGGAATGTGTTGCTTTGGGGGGTACTGAGCTCCCCATCTCTGCAGGTATTAAAGAAGAGACTTTCTACTACTCCACACCACCTCCAGTCTATCAACACACACCCTGTTAGGGATGCTATTGAGTGGATTCTTCCTTAGAAGGGAGGTTGGACTAGCTGACTTCCAAGGTCCAGATTTTAAGAGCCTAAGATGCTAAATTCTTTACCTCATTCAACAGAGACCAAATATGTTTGTTTGCAGAATCCCTTCCCCCTCATCCTTTCAGCAGGTATTTGAAGGATAAGAGGAAATGGAAGAGTGGATGAATTTAGTCCATTAACTACGTGATGACACGGCTGCTATAGCCACATATGGCCCTCTGACCCCCTTCTTGGTCAGAGCAGCTCGAAGGATCTTGTCATGTTTACTAGCAGCCAGGCATGTGGCTCTTTCTATTTCAGCTGCTCTGATCAAGCCTTCAGAGGAACAGTTAGCCACCAAAGGAGAAAATGTTTAGAGGGGAAAAAAAAA